AGAGCCCGATGACGGCTGGCTGGAGCGCTGGCGAGTCTTTGTCTGTCCCGGAGGCTCCCGCAGGCCAGGTGCGCCCGCAGCGCTGCCGCTCCTCCCGGGGCCAGCCGACGCGCTCTCTGCAGCAGGACCAAGCAAGACTGGCGCGGGGGCGGGCGGGCGCGGGCAGAGAAAGGTGGGCCTGGTGTACCGCATGCATTATAAATTGTCGCAATTAGTTTGGATCGTCAACGAGCGCCTCATTTCCAAGTGGAGAAGCCACCGGCGACAGTCGACAGTCCCGCGGGTACCTTACCTTCCCCTCCCCTCCCCGCGTCGCACCGGCCTGACACCGGAGGCCCGGCCCCCTCGCCTGACTCACCCGGTGACGCCACGACCGAGGAGAGAGGAGCTTTCAAACGGTACTACACGGAGGTACCCGGAGGTACCTCTAACAGGATTCGGCCGCGGGGCACCCGCTCCTTTGTGCCAGGGCTTTGAAAGAAAGAAAAAATACACTGCTTGCCGAGGAAAGCCGCGAAAACTCTGGAATGCGTCTTAGACGATGACATCGGCTGATCGTCAGCAAAACCGCCGATCAACGCCGAAGTCCGATGCGCGCAAGCTCAAAAAGGCAAGGGAACTTTGGCTTGTACACAAAGCGTGAAACTGGTACAATTTCAAATAGAGAAAAAGCACTCAGAGAAAAAAATGTACTTTGTATTCAAGTGGGCTTACGATCAGATCAAATCTGACAAATACGTTCAACATCAATTAATCAAAACACTCTGACAAGGGAGAAGTGCAGCTCCTTAATTCTATAATCTTGAATTTTAGGCCATGACATCCACATCTTGAACCCACCATTATTCTGCTGGACGCTGTTTTTCAATGACGACGAAGCTCCGACGCTGGACAGGGTCACCAAGACGCCGATGATGAGCAGGATGACGGCGGCGACGTCGTGGCGGGACATCGTCCTGGTAGGAGCCATAATCCAAAGAGGCTCACTTCACAAACTTAAGCACAAAGCTCCACTCGATGCCCGTCGGGCCACTTCACACAATTTCTATTTCTCTTCCCGCACTGATCACCACACAAGGCACTGCTCGTCACACACGCATCACCATCGCACGTTGTCGTCTGCTAGTAGACACTTCACGACCGCCATGGCGGCGTCGCCGTGGCACTGAGAGAGACAACTCCGCAGAAATCACTCGCGGACACTCGCACGCACACACATGCAGAAACGCGCCGCGATGTTCGTCCAGACTCGCGGAAACGCCGGGCGGGTCGACGCCGCGCGGTGGGAGCTCGAGCGGCACGGACCTCGCCTGACGACGGCTGGGCCACTACTGGCGTGGCGGGCGCGCGCGCGCGCGGCCCCGGCCCGGCCCGGGCCCCGCAGCCCGCCTTGCAGCGCGCTCTGCGGCGCCCGCGCGCTCTCCCGGCCGCCGCCCGAAGCTCCACGATGCACGCCTCGCCGCCGCCGGGGCACCGGGAGGTAGGCAATCCGCGGGTAGCGCAGGCTAACAGTGTTATTTCGGCTAACGGAGAAAGACGAACACCGGGTAGAACATGAACGTTCCCGAATGGTCGAAATAAGCTTCCCGGCACGTCTTGTCGAGTCGGTAGGGGGGGGGGG